GTTTGTGTACAAGTTTGTCTGTGTGTAAAAATCCGAAAGTGCCTTAGAATCGCAACAAAGTTGCAATCGAGTGTCGTGCATCTCATTAGCATATCATTATCCCTTCTGGCCTTTGTTTTCTGAAAAAAATTCCCACTGTTACCGAAGTGAATGCTCTAATTAAAGCTGCACCAAGACTTCACGCATCTGAATTCGTCCATTGAAAAAATGAATTTTAATTAAAGCTGCGGCGTCAAAAAGGAATTTTACGGTACTATCTGAAGAATCAATGGCTTAGTGAGGACAAATATTAGTTATTTGGAAAGAGAATATTACTACACTTCGAACTAAAAACACTAGTGTCTTTAGAAAAAAACAACCATAATTAATAGAGAAAGTAAAAGCTGTATTTTCTACATTCTTATGAAGTAATAGCAATTTTTTTTTACCATTAACAATTAGCTCAACAAAGACAGACTCAAATTAAATCAAATAGCCCTTGGTCTTTTTTAGCAAACACTATACATCTCCCTCAAAGGAAACAGCCAATGATCAAATTTAAGATCCTAGTTAATGAGTGTCTTTTGGGTGGTGGGGAATGTCATTTGACATTTGTGCGAACTTGTTTCAATGATGAGGTACCGGCACATGTATGCAATGGTACCTCTACACTGTATGAACACGTGGAAAATGTGAGGCGCAGTTTTGTATACATGCCACTTGCACATACGCGCAAATCAGACTTGTGCATTGGAATTCTAATCATAGCCTGCGCACAAACCAGACTTGCGTGTGCCAATAAAATACGAATTGGAACAAAAGAAATGTACGCGAAAATCAAACTTGCATGCAGACTTGAGTTGGCAAACATTTGTGTTTTTTTTCAGGTGGTTGATTGATGGCATGTTGATTTCCCATTTTAAAGCAATGTTTTCAACTTTGTTTATTATTTTCATATAGCAATCTCCTCATGCGTTAACAATGTAGTCTATGGAGTTTCAATTAGTGGTATGAGCCGTGTAGAGGTACCCTTGCATACATGCAATAATTAGTTTCAAACAAACTGAATGGATATAATAATTTGGCATGCAATATATTAAAACCATTAAAAATGTTAAACACCAACACCCACCCACCCACTCACTACTAAACCACAGACCCTGGAGAAATAGCCTGGTACAGTAGTGCGCAGGGCCGCAGGGTCAATAAATTCTCCAATCTAGTAAATTCATAAATTAACAATTTCTCTTACCAATAATGCAGTTTTCTTGTCCCAGTTGCATTGAGGTAACCAGAATACTGTTTGAACTTCGGTTGTGCCTTCAGTCCGGGAAGGGAGGTAATTTCGTCTGGATTTGCAGTTTGCTGTGTACCATAAGCTGTTACAACAGCTATACAAATAGTTAATAAAGATAACAATGTTTGTGCCATGATGGGAATGGAGGCAACAACTACTTCTAATGATATTTTAGCCAAAATTTGCTCATTTATGAACCGTGCAGGACAGTTCCGTACAATAAATCTTATGTGATGATCATGTGATTGTATTGAATGTCACATGATGTACCGAGAGATTCCGAGAGTCTACGAAGGATGGTGTTACCGACATTTAGTGATTTTCTGGACTACTCTTATTTAAAACACCATTCAAATAATCGCATTGCTTTTTCGATATCTATAAGATTCTTAATTAGGAAACATCATGGATAACGTTACAAAATAAACAAATTGCGACATCGATACCGGAAGTACACGAAGATTGCCGATTACAAGGTTCGAAAGCAATATGGCGACTGCACGGAGTGCGCCATGATGAAGAGATATTTTCGCCAACTTTATAAAGGTTTTCGATAGCTTTATAACCGTATACACATCTTTTCCTTAATATTCTTGCAAAAGGCGTCAAAAGGGTAGTTTCAAAGCAATTTGAAGCTTTCCCGATGTGAAAGAATGAAATAATGAATCTTGATTCGTTGTCGCTGGCCCTGTCTCAAATCAGTTACTCGGTGGCTAATCTGACCAAGAAGAACTACAAGTCAAGTGTTGCTGATATTTCTCGTGTAAGTATTGCTAATATCAGATAGTTTTAAATTAATAATGACTCTTATTTAATTTTCACACTCAGAATACAATCGAAATGTTTCTGTAGTTTCCATTATTTTGTGAATTGTTGGGACAGTTGAAAAAGAATCGTGAAACAATAAAACAAAGCATTGCCTTACCTCAGTGGAAAAGATACAAGCAGAAACATTGCAGAGTATGCATACATGTAATGTACCGTTAAAGTTTTCACGCAGTTATTTTTCGTACAGTAGTGTGGTAGTCAAACCTATTTCTTTAGCTTAGTCCTTGCCTATGCATGCATTTTGACACAAGCTGGATAGTATGTCCTCCCAAAAGACCACAGGTATAAGTGCTCGTAATATTGCTAAGTTGTTGTATTTTTTTTATAAATAAAATTATGATGGTGTTACTTGTATTTTATGCTGTGAGAGAACTCTGTCTAGGGGAATACTATCATATCTTTATATCCAAAATACAACAAACACTTGTCTAGAAATAGAATGATAGCTACAGTGGTCACAAATCGTAGATGACTTCCTGTTTGTTGTGACTTTATGTTAGCCATTTATACTTACCAAAAACCATCAAGAGTTTTGTTATTGAACTTAGTGTGAGGGTTGGTTATTGGAATAATTTTCAGTTATTTTTAGTTATTTTCTTGCTGGATTAAAAGATAATAGGGAACAATAAACAGATTAGTTTTCAAAACAATGGTATCTCATGATTTTATGGTGCATACCTGAAAATGGAAATACTTGTAACTTGTAAGATCACAAATGCAATACCTTAATTTTTTATAATTATTTATAGGTTTTTATTGGCCGATGGAATGTCTTTAGAACGTATTTAAATGGGGTCCGTGCGCACTGTACTGATTGGCTTGTTGGATTTAACTGCTATTGAAATTTATAGATGTTTATAAAATAATGAATAAAGAGAATGGGTTTGTTGTATAAATAGCAATAATGAGATAAAGGCTTGCAGGTTACCTAAGGTCATCTTGCTTTTAATTTGACTGATGGTGAAGTACATGTTGACTACTTTGCAACAAGTGATATTTGTGTCTTCTCATCTGTCAATGTGTGAAAGTTCACATTTTCTGAAAAATAATTTCAGCACATGAGATGTTTTACAGATATTCACTGGTTTTTAAATTTGATGGTTTGTGGATGAAACAATACATTTTATTGTTATATTGGAATATGCTCTGGCTATTTATCCGTTGGATTCTGTCAATTTTTTTGATTTTTAATGCAGGAACTCCTATTAGTAATATACTCGTCTGGAATCAAATGAATGCATTTAGATACAATGCTATTATGGCTCAGACTGTTTGTGTATGAATCAAATGAAACTAGTTTTGTTTCTCTGTTTCAGCTTGTTTCTCAGCACGGACCAGAAGCAGATCGTCACCTGTTCCGCTGTCTTTTTTCACATGTTGATTTTAGTGGTGATGGTAGGAGTAGTGGCAAAGATTTTCACCAGGTAAGAGATCTGACAAGGTTCAGTACAAATACATATATGAACAATAACATTTATTGTACATTACACATCCAAATTAGTGCAGTCCATTGATCTGATTATATTTGCATATTATTAGATAATATTTACAGCTGTTTTTAGTTGTGATGTTCAGTTACACAGGTCTTACAGTATAAATTTCAGAACAAAAAATTGTTCTTACCAAAATTAGGAAATTTCCAGGAAAAATAAAAGCGATTTTGAAATTAAAATTAAAGCTTTGTTTCTTAGAATTACTATTAGTATTCAAATTTGATCCATAGGTAACCCAACTAATTAAGTCATTAATTATGTTAATCTTATATTTTTGTATTTGATAAATTATTTCTGGATTCTAAAACGGTAAATGCCTTGTCTGAAGTGCCAACACAATTCAACTTTGTAGTAAGGCCATTAAGCGATAAGGGCGCCTATTCTGGACCCATGTAAATAAGCACTATCGATTATTACCGATTTTTCATTAAATTCTTACACAAATTCGTTAGGCAAGGGTTGATGCTGTTGAACCAGTACACATACGTTTAAACGTGGCCCAAATGACTCAAAATACTCTACCGACATTGCATGAACTAAACATCGACAGCGATGATCGTCAATGAACCACATTGTCAGACGCCAGCTTCGCAACTGACCACTTGTGTCAAAGTTCACCAAAGACGGCGTCATCTGATATGGGATATAACTATATTTCGTTTCCTGTTCATGTAAGCGAGTCATTGTGACGTTTCTCAAGTGTTTTCTCAGATTTGTGGCTTGGATATCCATATATAAGTTTCATGTTTGCCCAAAAGGTTGTTTTCCTAACTATGTATAACCTATGACAAGATTCCACAATTACAGGCGCCAAGGACTGACTATTTGCCACAGTTTTAGGGGTTTCCACTCAGTCGTAGTGTGTGCGCAATAGAGCGCAATGAGTTTTAATATGACGTCCTCCAATATGAATACCAATTACCGTAAAATCTGTATTAGAAGCCGCATTCCTAATAGAAGTCGCACCCATTCTTTTTGAATAATTGAGAATCAAAAATTCACCATTTCTCATATGTGTAGATGCTCTAATAGAAGCCACATCCCCTCTGTTGCATTGTACCATTTTAACTTTCCGTAACTAAAACTTTGTGATTTGCATAACAAAGAGACAGAGTTGATAGTGTACTTATAAGTACTGGTAGACACTAATATGTTTGATGGATGGGGAAGATGTCAATTATAAAATTGTTCCAGGAATATGTGATTTCTCACATGTAAGCAGTTTCAATGCTATTTATAAGCTGTAATCTATTTTACCTCAAAAAACCTAATTTACTCACAAAACGTGTTTTTGTGTGGGAGATTTAAAATAGTGCTGTGGCATTTGGCAAATTAATTGTTTACCCATTAACAGAGGTGTTTAGAGCTTTTACTTCAGGGGCAATGTGGGGTTTACAATTATCAAAACAATGAAATTCAGTTTGCCCTTCCAGATGTGAGCCATCCCCGTCAAGTTTGGATCTAATACTGTCATTAATTACCAGACTTTGGTTCAGGTCGGAAGTTGTTTTTTCATTTTGTGTATGCCTAGCATACACAAGCAAAATAGCACTTTTCAGGGCCACACCATCCATACTACAGTTAATAAGAGATATCCTACATGCACACAAGTGATGTAACGTTTGACCAGCAATGGTAGTGTTTGCAACCTTTTCATCAGTATTTGTTTATTTGTAAAGTAAAGTAAAGTAAACCAAAATATTAACAACATCCTGAAAAGTTGCACAGAGCTGTGTGCAAAGCCAGTGCCATTCGAATTAAAAGGATATCAGCTGCAACAAATTATGGCAAATATGTCAGTTAATGTAATATTAATATGGCAATAGCCATGGTAATACACATGTCCATACTACTTAATACTAGACTGAAAATCACTGGAAAATTAAAAAGTGCAGCTCATGTGCCTTTCATAGCAATGATGTATGTTAAAAGGTATAGTATGGATCAGTGTGTCACTGTTGTGGTGAATTTGTCTGCTAATTTGATAGTGTTAGTAGCCATTTCAAAAACTTGTGAATTTTGGTCGATTTAATTCAAAATTGGGTGTTTTTACACAATTTTGATGAAGTTTTCGACTTAATTCAAGACTAACACTAAGATCTAATCATTTGCTGGACATCTTGGATTTATATACCCAAAAACACACATTTTTGTGTTTTGGACGTTTTTGCTATTTTGGTTTTGTGTTTGAGCAATTCTGTTATTGGTAAGATGAAAAAGGCTCTGTAGAGATTCCTCTTCTTCTAATAAGCAATTTCCTGTGCCTAAAATCAAGAAGAAAGGTCAATGACCTTGTATTAATCAATGCACTTAAGATCACCTCATTTGCATAACAAATGGTAGCCATTTTGCAGGGTTTCCAGGTTTCAACAATCAGAACTGATTTTAAAATGTCTATATTTTGATGGCTAATGCAGGTTTGTGAAAAATTTTAACAGATTCCTTATTTTTCAGGAAGGGTCTTTCAGTAAATAAAGAAATGTAGTTATCCTTTTTGGATTTTAAAATCACTTGGTGTGCCTATTTGTAGAAACAAAAACATCTCTTCCCCTACTTATATGCTTATCTTTTGTGTCCTTAACAGTTTTTGATTCAAGAGTGTGCAACGCTAATTACCAAACCAAATTTTATATCGACGCTGTGTTACGCAGTTGACAATCCTTTGCATCATCAGAAGGTAAATACTTTCTTTATTAGCTGTTTTTGTTGTAATCGTATTTCGTGTTCTCTCCACAAAGCTGATTGTTCTACCTTTACAGCCAAATTAGCATAAAAGTTAATTGTTTCCCTATAAGAATAGTATGCATGGTTCAAAATAAATTTGTCAAGTGCATGTTACTTGTATTTTCTTGTTACAGAGTTTAAAGGCTTCCACTCAGCTTTTTCCACAGCTGAGTAAAGTTTTGAAATTAACTAGAGTTCAAGAAGTAGTATTTGGGATTGCATTACAACATTCAACCAATCGGGACACCAGAACATACGGTAATCTCACTTAATACTACTGTATAACCATTTCATAGCACAAGTTTGGTTATTACCGTACTGGATTTCATTAGCGCCAATGCCCGGTAAAGTGCCCAACCCCAACTTTTGTGTAATTTTTATATTCGGGTCACATTCAGCACACATTCAAAATGCAACTTCGTCTTTGATCATTGCTTTACGAATACTGGTAATCGTTTTTATATGGTACAGCGTGGATATCGACTGCCTTGAATATGTTGTGAATGCATAGACCACGGTAACAGTGAGTAAACTATGCTTCGACAATGACCTGTTAATGAAAGTAAAATGCGATAAATATTTCATGGCATATTCAGTTTATCTATCAAAAATTGCTAGTTACCAGTTTTTAAAAAAAACATGCCGTTTATTCTTCATTGTAAAAGTCAAATGCAACTGATTTTGTAATTTTATTTTCCCCTAAAGACGTGAATCCCCTCAATCTGTCACATGGTGTATTAAAATTTTAATTTGCACTGTTTTTCTGAGTTGGGTGCTCGGGTAAGTGCCCACCACTTTAAAAAATCATGCTTTTCTGGGTTGAGGACACTGGGTGCTAACACGGTCCAGTATGGTAATTGTTTTCCTGACTTCACAATAATAATAAAAAAAATTTATAAACTGATTATAAACTGATTAATGAAGGTATGATGTTGTTTCAGCTGAGAAAACAACTGCTGTGCTAAATGTAATCATAAGTACATGTATTCCCATCAGTGCTGTTGTCCTACTTCCTTTGCTTATGTCTTCATTCAAGGCTGACCCATATATGTAGTTTCATTACATTCAATTTAGTATTTTGAGTATATACTCTGGATTTTAAATTTGCATATTTTCCACTCAAGCAATCTTTTCTAATGTCATTTCAAATCAGATTTTACTCTTATTCTGTCGACCCAATATTTTTACAATAACTTACCAGATAAAGGTGAATTCAGTCGATTTCTTTACAAAAATAGTGAAATTGAAATCCAGAGACTAATGAGTTTCCAGTGTATTGTGAGATTATTTTGTTGACTATAATATTTTATGTTCTTGAATTCTAGCCGCTCAGTTTGCAAAACAGAAGCTACCTGATTTATTAAGGTCTTACATAGATTCAGGTTTGTCTTTACTTTCTCAGTAGATACTACAGTATAAGGACGATGTCAAAAGATCAATGTCGGATAAAAAACTTGTTTGCTTTAGTTTAGGGTGGGGTGGGGTGACATCAACAAGTTTCCATCCTACAGAAATGATTTTATTTTTAAATCAAAAAAATCTT